TACAAATCACAAAATACCTCGCTAAAAGGTTTTCAAAGATACAGGAATATTTCTATTACCGGAATCCAATTTTGTCCCTCCTGGGTCAAAGTCAGCTATTTTTCACACTTTTTCATAAAGCGAGACACACGAAAGACAAAATCGAACTACAATGTGGAAGAACTAAAAAAGATAAGGCAAAGTCTGCCAAGTCCTTGAAAGGATTTTCTATATTAAACTGCGTTCAAAATAAAAAAGAAGAAGAAATATAAACATCTTTGGTTCTCAAGGATTTTACACAAAATCCTTGTTTGGTTCTGCCGCTCGATGGATGGTTTTTATAATTTAAATGAATCTAACAATAAGGAAAATTACCCATTTAAAATTTGTCATGCAAATTATTTTTATTTGTACTTTAAAAACCCCATTCCACTATTTCTACTATAAAACCCCATTCCTCCAGATTTTCTACTATACCACCAACTGCCAAATTTCACCACTGGATAGTATCCCCAATCCACCAGATTTAGTTAAGTTAGCTGATACTGAAATTTTGAAAGCCGTTAAAACAGAAAACCAATTTTGGTAACTCAATATTTTTAAAGATGTCGCTTTATAAAATATTTAAAGTAATTAGTAACGAATAATAATTTTTAATAATGTTGTTCGTAGAAAAAGACGTTTGGATTGACTGTATACTTCTAATAAGGTATTTGAAATAGAATTTTCTACTATTAGATTTTATACTATAAAAACCCCATTCCTTCAGATTTTCTAGTATACCACCAACTGCCAAATTTCACCACTAGATAGTATCCCCAATCCACCAGATTTAGTTAAGTTAACTGATACTGAAATTTTGAAAGCCGTTAAAACAGAAAACCAATTTTGGTAACTCAATATTTGTAAAGATGTCGCTTTATAAAATATTTAAATTAATTAGTAACAAATTATAATTTTTAATAATGTTGTTCGTAGAAAAAGACGTTTGGATTAACTGTATACTTCTAATAAGGTATTTGAAATAGAATTTTCTACTATTAGATTTTATACTATAAAAACCCCATTCCTTCAGATTTTCTACTATACCACCAACTGCCAAATTTCACCACTAGATAGTATCCCCAATCCACCAGATTTAGTTAAGTTAACTGATACTGAAATTTTGAAAGCCGTTAAAACAGAAAACCAATTTTGGTAACTCAATATTTGTAAAGATGTCGCTTTATAAAATATTTAAATTAATTAGTAACAAATTATAATTTTTAATAATGTTGTTCGTAGAAAAAGACGTTTGGATAGACTGTATACCTCTAATAAGGTATTTGAAATTGAATTTTAATGGAAAATTATCAAAAAAAAAACATAGAAAATTTTTTTTTGAAAACTTAACCTAAAAACCAAAACCTTAGGTCGAGTAACACTACGAATAATTTTTTGTAAATATGCTGTTTTATCATATTTTAAACTTTAATACCTAAATCAAATCATAGACCAGAACAATTGTTCGCATTTGCTACAGGCCCCGCGTTTGGTTAATCCGGCACTGTAAATTGAAGACTAAATCAGACAAAAAGTTTCCCTTTTAATGCATTACATGCAATTTCAATGCAATTACACCACATAACCGCTTGTCACGTTTATCGTTAATTGTTTACCTACTCAAGCTAATTGATTATTAACAATACGGTTAAGTTTACAAAACAATTAAAATAATTATAATTATTACATTACCTACCATTTATCACAAATTAATGTAAAAGGGGTTTTGTTTTAAGATATGTTATTTTTTTCCTGCCAATAACAGGTGGGTGGGTGAACCAGGTTCAGATAGTCCAGCAATCTAAACGGTATTTTTAGATTATTTTTAGGTTAGGTCAAGACCATTTAATATACGCGAGTCACTCTACTGTTCTTTCTGTACTGTGATGATATATAGACAGAAGGTAAATAAAAAATATAAATTATTTGAAATTGTGATTTTGTTTTAATATTTGGCCTTATTTTAATTTTTCCATATTTTTTTATTGAAAAACAATTTTTATTAGTATTTTACAAAACCCTGTATACTCGTATCCCCTTATTAATTTTTACATCCTAGGACATAATCGAATGCTTGTTTTGAACTTGACTGCAAAGTTAACCGATTTTTTTTAAAGCAACTATTTGCAATTGGGTGAATATATTGAGATGACCCCCAAGTAAAAATGATTATTTTTTATTTTTGGTTGTTTCACTGTTAGTCTAGAATGGGGTTTTTGGAAAGCCACCAGGTCTAATAATAACATAGATAGCTATAGATAGCTTCACGGAGGTTAGGATTACGTATGTTTTTTTTAAACCTCCCTTTGTATATTTGAAAAAAGTTATCATATCTTTTGACACCTTAATATTTTTTTTAAAATACAATTGTACATACATAAAATATTTATAAAAAAATCTACTTACTGAGATATTACACTTCACGGTGGATAGGTTTTTAAATGGCAAATTAATGAACTTAAACTTTTAAATTATAAAACAGCAACACTCTCATTTGCATATAAATTCTAACTGACCTTCAGGAATCACAATGTCGTAAACAGAGGTTTTCGCTATTTAAAATGATTAAAGCGCCATCCGTTGCATAAAATTTAAAGCAAAAACAGATTCACGAAGGATAGAATCAATTTTTGTAACACCTACATAAATGGTTATAAAAATTATTTCTTTAAATTTTTAATATTGTTTTATATTTGATTCGATTGTTTTGGATGTATTTAATTTACTTAGTGAACTGATATTTTTAGTATGCTTTTATTACCTCAGATATTTGAAAATATATAGAAAGAGTAACAGTCACGGAGAATAAGTTTTAGACTTTTAAAACCATGTAAAAAATAATTAATTGCGGTTAAAAATCTGGAACCTTTGCTGTAATATCTACTTAATTATGAAAGATCAAAACACAATAAAAGTGTAGGTCAAACTCATTTAGTTTTATTAAATATCACGGGGTAACAGCATCGGGGGACATTTCGTGAGATTCACCCAATTGTAATTTAGGTAATTCAGAAAATTCTCTGGGTAAGTATTAAATGTTAGAAAATCTATTAATTTTGTTTAAAGCAGAATAATCGTAAGGATTAATTGAAGAACATTGTTAACAATTCTGTAGTGTTTGGACATTTCTGGGTTGCGAACAATATCCTAGACTTAAGCTTAAATTGATAAAGTGAAATATATTCATTTATTTCAACTTTTGAATTAAATTATATGAAAAGCCCTTTTACTTTAGTTTTAATCCTTTGTATTTATATTAATTATAGGAAATAAAACCGAGCTTTAAAGCTAATTGTAGTAGGTATAAATGTAAATGCAAAACAAAATAATTTGGTAATCAAATTATATACAGGGTGGCCCATCGAAAACAGTCCAGCAAGTTTAATGCAGACAATATTAAAAAATGTTTGTTGTTTGGGTCGTTTTCAAAAAACACCCGCCTTCCGCTGTCCGTAAGTTTGAATTCCAATATCTTTGTTAAAAATTATCGGATCTTATTGATTTAAAAAGTGAAAGCCTAACAAGCCCTTAGTAAACTCTTTCAGAAAATGTTTGTTTAGTTATTTCAGAATATAAATAATAATAAAAACATATATATGACAACTTTTTTGGCACTCACGTGATTAACAAATGATGTTCGGACCTACACATTACCCAGCTGAATTTATTTATTCAATCAGGAAGAAGATATCGGTTGAAACAGGTGCGGGTAACGCGAATGTAATAATTGTTTGTCCGCTAAGTTAATTAAAAAAAATAATAAAAATAAGGTAAGAAAAAATACTATTTTTCATGTTTATGCTTATTTTAGGGCACTAAAGCTCATTGAGAGTAATTAATGACTGAATGTCTTATTATTAAAATATGGATTCACAAAACTTTTTCCACTGCGTTACCGAGTCCCTTATGTTACCTTATGGTAACGCAATGGAATTTAGGGTAACGCAATAGAATTTTTCGACAACAAATAGGATATTAAAAGTAGTTTATGATAAACCAATTTAAAATTATTTGTGATTACAACTCATGATATAGATTACATCCAAGGGAAAATTCCACGCAATATACAAGTACTAAAAGACACCAGCTTATAGTCAAAGAAAAAGGGTGTCTATAATTTAAAAAGTTGTTATTCTGCAAGTGAGCACCACTACAAGAGATTTTGTTTATGCATTAATATAAAATCGTACCACCCTATACAGTTTCTTTTTTACGTTAAGTCCTTTGTGTACCACAGTCAGTTGTGATACCAATGTCTATTTCGTTACTTTTTTTTAGTTTTTGTTAAAAAAAATCCTTAAAATGATTTTACTATCACTTGGTAATACCTGTTTATAAATTAGAGTTTAACTCACTAATACAGTAACTAAAAGAAAATATTAATGTTTTTTTAACAAAGAATCGGAATGGTGTATTTTAAAAAGTAACTTAACCATCATAAATATTTAAAAAAGGCATACAATTTTTAATAAAAAATAAAATTGGAGTCAAAAGTTTGTGAACTAAGTACATTTTATTTCAAATTATTTTTATAACATTTTTTTTATTGAATTAAATTTTGGATTTCAAATTGGTAACACAGTGGAGACATATAAAGCTAGCTAAACACATTTTTCTGAAAAAAAAACGTAAAAAAAATTAAAAAGTGCACTGCCTGTCTTAAATGTAAGTAAACAAAACTCTAAACATTTATAAAAATCCAACCAAAAGTCAATTTAAGCAAAAAAAAAATTTGATCAATGTTTATAATGTAAATATGATTATGCTGATTCGGGTAAATATTGAAAACGGTACTTGAATATATTTTTAAAACTTAAAGCAATTCGTTCTACTTTATACATTAAGGTGAAAAATAAAAGATCAAACAGGTATGTAGCAAAAAAAATTAGTTATACACACTTCCACAAAAGTGTTAATAAGTATTTAAAACATAATAATTGACTTTGTATTTTTTAAACTGTTAGATTCTTATACCCAACATAACATGTCATTAAATAAAGAAAATCATGGTAAAGCAGGGTTTAAAATATATTTTAAAATTGTGCTTTTATTTAGTTATATTAGATAAAGGGCTGTGTGAAATTATGGATGAAGAAAAAGTTTTGCATAGAGACAAGAGGTTCCTTTTGGTATACCCATTCGGAGGTACCTTTAAGGTAAGTCTTATATATTTTTTTGACTTTTAATTTTAGAAAATTAAATTTAAGAATTTATTTATTAACAAAACCTGAAACAAAATTAATATATTTTTTTAGTTTGTTGCCTTACTTTTGTTCAATAGTGTTATTTTATCAATTAGATATACTGTTCGTGGAGATAATTCAGTTTCTCGAAAATATAAAGAATAAAATTAAATCAATTGACAATAAAAGTTTTGCAATTCTCGAATTAAGTCCAGTTAATGTAATGTACGGTATTTATTAAATAACCTAAAAAAACGGGACCTTTTTACCCAAAAACCATTATTTTGTATTTCCACAAGTCATTGTCGCCATTAAATCCGCTAATTAATGTTTTGCCTGGGAATCGACAAAAACACACTTTGTACATTGCAAAACACTGTGGTAAAATCAGCGGTCTCAAGTTAAACTAAAACTAACTTTAAAGTTAGACTGTTCTAATAATTTCATGAGTAATTTTTCGTAATGATTTGACTTTCTGTGATTTTTTTCTTGGGGTTTCACCTCAGGTTATAGACATTAGGGTGTCCCTTATTTTTTATTTTTTTACGCATACCCTCTAATTATATTTATTACGTGTTTATATACTCCCAGTAAAAATTTCAGCTCATTCTATAAACGGGAACCCGTGCCGACTTGCATCTGAACCCTCCGTGAGCCAACGTTAGGCGCGCGGTATTTTGTAACACGGTTGGCCGCGAGGTCTTCGATCGTAAGTCATTTTGTGTTTGTTATTATGTGACCCTTATATTATAAATTCTTGACAAATGTTAAAATATAGTTTTATTTATGTGTATACTTTGATAAAAATGTATATTTTCACAGGGAGTGGCTAGTTACCCGGAAGGGTCTAGTGAATATGCCGTAAACTCTGAAATTGATAAACTTAATGGGATTTACTCTAAATAACTAAAAGAGTCTACACGGAAAAAAAAATTAAATTAAATTTTACAACAACCATATTGTAAAAAAAATGTTTAATTATTTAATACAATTGTTTTGAAATTAACTAAAACTTAAAGCATTTATATCGACGTATAATTTATTTAAAGTACCTACACAATTTTGGAGCACGGCAAATCTGTATTATTTTACTAATAAAGAATTGCATTAGTCAATACAATATTTTATTAAAATATATAACAATATTAATTTAAAACAGAAATTGTAGTAATTTAACTACAACATATAATTATATCTTTAATAAATTGTTGTTTATTTTTATTACAAAATTGTTAAATTACTTCTAACAAATTGTTCTTGGTCGTATTTTTTAAACAATTTCTACCAGAAAATTCTACAATTGTAGTAATTTCCACAAAAATTTTTTTTTCCGTGTATTGTAAGAGATGACTACCGAAAACTGTCTGAAATATTTTTGGGAGGACATCAAGAAAAGAAATGCTTATAAAAAGCTGAAATTTCATATAACAGTATATTTTAGCAATACTAATTAGTATATTAATATATTTAAGGGATAAAATCAACTAATTTTTTTTGGTTATTTTTTAGCTGTCATTCAGATATAATAAAAAAAAGAGTTTCGGGTAATTAGTTTTACGGCCTATTCACCCGACACTCCGGGTAACTAGCCACTTCCTGTAAAAATATTCAATTTTATTAAAGTATACACATAAATAAAACTATATTTTAACATTTTTTAGGGTCACATAATAACAAACACAAAATGACTTACGATCGAAGACCTAGCGGCCAACCGTGTTACAAAATACCGCGCGCCTAACGTAGGCTAATGGAGGGTTCAGATGCAAGTCGGCACGGGTTCCCGTTTATAGAATGAGCTGAAATTTTTACTGGGAGTATATAAACACATAATAAATATAATTAGAGGGTATGCGTAAAAAAATAAAAAATAAGGGACACCCTAATAGACATGATTAAAAGCATTCCCCTTTGAATGATAATTTTTATTTCCTAAACTACTATTGGACAAAAGTAAAGCAACAACTGTATAAAAAATCTAACCCCAAAACGCCTTTATTAATCTTTAAGAAATTTTGGATAAAAATACTTGAACTTAAATCTCAGTTTACGTGTTTGAGGGTTTTTTAAAAAATATTTTTAAAGTCCATTTTTTTAATATTAAAAAAACCTTCGAAAAATAATTTTTACGGAAATTTTTTTTCAAGTAAATAAAAAATATACTGTTAAATACCGTATTTTTGTTAGTATACCCTGAAAATTTTGTACAAATCAAATGAACAGTAACGAAGATACAGCGATTCAAAGTCGTCAAAAATGACCACTTTTCAGCAAAATAATCAAAAAAGGGTCATTTTTACCGACTTTGAAGCGCTGTATCTTCGTTACTGTTCATTTGATTTGTACAAAATTTTTAGAGTATACTAACAAAAATACGGTCATTAACAGAATATTATTTATTTACTTGAAAAAAAATTTCCGTAAAAGTTATTTTTCGAACGTTTTTTTAATATTAAAAAAATGGGCTTTAAAAATATTTTCTCAAAAAACCCTTAAACACGTAAACTGAGATTTAAGTTCAAGTATTTTTATCCAAAATTTCTTAAAGAATAATAAAGGCGTTTTGGAGTTGGATTTTTTATACAGTTGTTGCTTTACTTTTGTCCAATAGTATGTTTGAAATTCACTGATCAACAATTTAAGTAAATAATAGAGAAGAATTTTAAAATTGTCAGCAAAAATATTTAAAAAAAAATCAAGTAAATTAAATAATAGTTTACTAATTGATGTTATAATACAAGAAATAAATTGAAAAAATGTGTGCCTAAAATTATAAAATATAAGAAACATAACAAAACGAAAGTTTTTGTATTGCTGGTATTCGCACCAGCTGCACTGAAAAAAATAAGCTGTTGAAACAATAAAAAAAATATTGATTCAACTCTTTATGCACTTTAAATACAAGCAATGGTTTTTGCACGTTTACTTAACCATCTAAAAATGTCAAATTGTATTGTTTAATTGAACAACAAATATTAGTCAAATGAACAAAATGAGAATATTTGTTCTGATCTGCTAATCTGGTTAATTAAACATTTTGGTATGTCGGAGTAATATTTCGAAAATGGTTGTGCAACATTTTAAGATGTTAAGGTAAATTTCTTGAAATGTCCTGGTAACCTTTTTAGCATATTCACTTAACACCAATAAAATGTTAAATTAAAATAATTTGCACTAATGTTGGGTTAATTAAATTATGGAATTTATATAAAGAGAAAGAATTTAACCTTCCCTCGCCAGAGTTTTTGTTTTGAGTGCGTTCCACCTACTTCAAATACCTACCTAGTCGGTAGTACCGACACACAGCTGATTTGACCTATATTGGGGTCTTATCAGTAGGCATGGGATTTTAGTTATTTTACCTTTTTTCAACCGATGTAACTATTTGAAAACCAATAATGCCAAAATGTGTTTTAAAAGATTTTCTTTTATATGAACCTAACTTGTTTTCACCTTTTTTACCTTTTTTGGAGGTTTTTGCTTTAAACTACCTTCTTTATACTTTTGTTACCTATTTTTTTAAACTTTTTTTCACCTTTTTTACCTTTTTTGGAGGTTTTTGCTTTAAACTACCTTTTTATACTTTTATTACATATTTTTTAATTTGTCAGTTTATTTTCACCCATTTGTTACATATTTGTTACGTATTTTTACTCAGACTGTAACAGTTACCTTCTTTGTAGTGAGCTTATGTTCTGTCATAGAACTTCTGTGTAGTGAGTGTCACTCAGTGAAACACAGTTTATTGCATATAAATAGTTTATTGTGGGTATGTTCTGTGTTTGGGTATGCGGCTAAACAAAATTATAAACGAAACGTGAACTTTTAATGTTTTTTTTACCTAAATTGCTGCTTTTTAACCTAAAATGTTTTTTTAGTACCTTTTTAGTTACCTATTTTTCAGTTTTTAGTACCTAAATATCCCATCTTTACTTATCAGTGTCGGGCAATTTGGTATAGTGGAAGTTCCACTGTGGAACACACCCAAAACAAACGGCTACCTGAGCTTATATACTCCTATCGTAAGCCAACTGAGGCGAGATTTAAGAACATCACGTGATCAACACTGTCTAATGACGTGGCGTGGGTGTTCGAAGCGCCCTTCACGGCAATTTTATGAATGCAAAATTAACAAATTTTAAAGTAACATTTACAATTTGTTAAATGAACAAATTTAATGTTTTGGATTTAAAGAGCAACTAAACGTTAATTTAATAGTTTTTTTAGGTAATCCTAAAAATTTCAGTATTTGATTCAACCAATTCCAGCTATTAAATCAAAATAGGATAAACATTTTAATTCAAAAAATTAGTTTATGTAAATCAATATTTTTACTGTCAAATGAACAAATAAACTTTTACAAACTCTGACTATTGCTTTGACACCAAAATATCAATTAATCCAATAGGTTTTTTGATAAAACAACATTTTCGAAAATGACATTTAGGCAAACGTTAACTCAACTACATTATTTTTTTCGGTGTGTATAAAAGTTTAATATCGTGTGTGACCACCCCCGGCTCTTCTTAATGCTGTTACCCTGCTGTTACCATGATAAAATTATTAATAAAGTCTCGAGGTATGTTTTGCCAGATTGCTTGCAACTCATTGGCCATGTGTTGCAATTTTTGGGGAGGTTGTTGAAGCCAAATGAATTGTCTGGACATTTCGGCCCAAATGTGTTCAATGCAATTCATTTCTGGTGAACATGCTGGCCATTCCATTCTAGTAATCCCATAATATTCTATCCGATTGTTTACCGTGCACGATGAAGGGCGTATTAATTGTCGATAAAAACAAATCTTTCGCATATTGCACCTGCAAATGGAACAATAACCCACAGGGGTCCAGAACGGGTCAAAAGTTTAAAAAAATGACAACAAAAATCAACAGTAGGGTATTGTTAAATACAACCCCCGCCAGTGGCGGCTCGTGGGTGTACAGGAGGGTGAGGCTACATAAGGTTAATTTTG